GAGCGGGTTCCCTGTTGGTGGGACAGGGATGGTGACCCCCACATCTTCCTTCTGGGCTCAGCTGTGCTGGGTGCTTCACACAAACAGAGCATCTTTGGGGCACCTGGAGTGAAAGCTGAGGAGCCTTGAACCCACTCGTGTCCAGCAGTTGCTGCTTCACGCAAAAGGTGGAAATTAACCCCAAGAAATCCCCTGAATCTGGCACCTCCCATGAATGCTGTGTGGCAAAAATAGCAGTTTTATAACTATAATAAGACTCAGCGAATTCCAGGTCTATTTGGGGAATACCCAGGAGCTGCCAGCAGGAGCCAGCTCATCTCTCCCCGGGTTGCAGAGCTTCCCTGCGTGCCTCTGGATCCCTCCCGGGGCAACAGGGACCACAGAGGCCAAATAGCAACCCTGGTAACAATGACCCCTGTCCTCCCCTTCCTGATTTCCCTGCCGTGGAGGCTCCTGCTTCCTGGGACCTCCTGGCCCAGCACTGAGACCTCATTGTGGGACACCAGGCTGTGAGTCCTGTGTGCAGAACAAGGAGGGAACAAGACCCTCTCTCAGGGAGGGACTGCTCAGCTTCTTGGGTAAAAACAGATTAAAAGGAGCCCCCTGGAATAGATCTCCCCCCTGGTACTGGTTTTCTAGACTATGCAACAGATAACTGGTGGGAATGGTCCCTTCCTGAGAGATGTGAGCTCTCCTGTGACAAGCTCCTTTGATGAAGAGCCAGAAGGACCATGTTGGTGGGCCAGGCTGTCCACTCACAAACGCTGCAGCCCCTTTTCTTTTGGGATGATCATGTTTTCCCAGGCAGAGGCACGAGGGCACATCACAGAGCAGGGTGAGGGGATCCTTGGGTTGCACTGGCAGGGGAGGAGGGCACAGTGCAGGGCAGGGGAAGAATCCCTGCTCCTCACACAGCCTGCAGGAGGAGACCAAGCAGCCGTGGAGCTGAGAGGTCCAGGTCTAAGAACAGCCACCAGGCTACAGGGGAAAGGGATGTGGGCCACAAAGAACCCCCAGCAGAGATTTAGGGCTGCTCTGCCACTTGGCAGCAGGAGCAGCCCCAGCAGCCTGCCCAGCAGCAGCAGCCTCAGGACTGGGTGAGCAAGGTGCCTGGTGTCTCTCACCTCACAGCAACCAGCCAAGCCCTCAGAGGCAGGCAGGCTGCCCCACCAGCTGCAAATCCCACGGGACAGCCCTGTGGGACCATCCCCAGCGCTGCCAAAGCAACAACACCCCCCCCTGCCCTTCGCTCCCCTCTCACTGCCCTGCCAAGCCTCAGCTCAGGGCTTTAAAACCAGGACAAGCTGCTTTTAGCCCCAGACCGGGGCATGGAGAGGCTCACAGCAGCTGGGGGGAGGGGTTTCACCATTCCCAGAGAAGGGGCAGGACCACCCAGCTCCATTGCCCCTGTCACCTGCCTGCCCCAGGGACCAGGTGAGTGCGCACCTGGAGCGCTGCAGGACCACGAGCAAGGGCAGCCCCCCCAGGCCACGCTTCCTGCCTGCCCGAGCAGGACCCCCACTCTGTCTCCTGTCCTCCTTCCCTTCTCTCCTCACAATGGGGTTTTCCAGCTGCCAGAGCTCAGCTTTCCCTGCTGCCCAGGACAACCAGAGCTTCTCCTCCTGCTCCGCAGCCACCGACCCAGCACCTGCACCCCGCCAGGGACCGCCCCCCCCCCCCCCTGCCATAATGAGCTTATTGTCAGGAAGACAGTGCAGCAGGAGGCTGGTCTGGAGCAGAACATGGCCCCAGTGGGGAGTTGTGCAAGGCCCTGCTCCAGACACTGGCCTCTTTGTTCCCCATCGTGTCCCCGAGGAGCCGGTTCCGACGGACCCGACGGGCACGTTCCTGGGGAGCAAAGTGACCCCCCTGGGCTGAACCAGCTGCCTCCTGGGGGGCAGGGAACCCACCTCCTCGTCTCACTTCACACCATCTGGATGAACACGAAGGTTCTCCACCTCCCACCTCCTTTGCTGGCAGGAAGGTGACGCTGCAGAGATCAGAGCCAGGGGTCTGGCTGGGCAGAAAGGGCCCATCAGGAGGGTTCCCTGCAGAGCAGGAACTTCAGCTGCTGATGCATCTCAAACCACATCCTGCCTGCGACTGAATTTCCATGGCTCCTCAGCTGACAAGAGGGTAAAAACCCAGGGGAAAGTGCAGTGATGTCAACAGGATCCAAAGCCCCTTTGGAAAATGCTGCCTGAGAAGAAGAGATGAAAGCACCTGTGGAGGAGGAGGAGGAGACACTTGGGAAGGTGAAACCCTTCAGATCAGGTGGCCACAGAGGAGGGGAAATAAAGGCAGAGGGGAAATAAATACACAAGAGTCTTCCTCCTGCAAAGAGTGGGTGGTCAGGGTGGAGGTGGCTGTTCCTGAAGAGGCATTTAGGAGATGCAGCAGGGACCTGCAAGAGCCACTCTGGCTGCTGGGGGAAAAAAGAGGGAGGTCCTGGTGTGACTTCACCCTCCACCTACCCAGGAGATGGGGTGACAGGGCAGGGTGACACAGCACAGACACACAGCCCAGAAGGAGCAAAGAAAGCACCAGGCCCCTTCAAAACATATTCAATAGTTTTCCAACTTTATTTCATGGTGATTGACGAAAGACACAAGTTAGTAATGGTTATATCATGCTGCTCCTCTACTGTGCATGGCCCTTCAGAATTCATACAGCAGTTCACAATGGTCATTAATTTACCCTAGAAATGAAGCCACATGGACATCTTTCTTTTAAAAAAACATAAAATAAAATAAAAATCCCAGAAAAAAAACAAACCCAAACAAACCTCGATGTCTTTTTTGTTTTATTTATACATCCACGTTATAAATGCTATTAAAAATAAAGCTGCAGTTAAGTGCACAGCCCCTAGGGAGCACTGCTGGATCTGACCTTGCTTCAAGATGCTTGTGGAGGACACAAGGTCCTGATTTTAAGGCATTTCCAAGCCTCGGCAAAAGCAGACAGAGGTGTTTTTTGTTGTTGTTGTTGGGTTTGTTTGGCAGTGACCCTGGCTTCATTGCAGTGGCATCTTAGAAAATGAGCAGCTTCCTCTGCACATCTCCCCCCCCCCCTCTTCCTGCAGCTGGCACATCCAGCCCTTGGTCTCAACCAAGCTCAAAACTCATGTTCCCAAACCACAGCTGGAGGGTCTGGCACTTCCCTCCCGACCCGCAGAGCCCCTGGTTTAGCTCCACCTGGGGATGAAAATGCCAACAGTCCATCCCTTTCACCAGGCAGCCACTCTGCTTCCCCCCCCAGGAACCACAACTGACCTACAGCAGCCACTTAAAATGTGGTATTGCCACCTCCCCCCCTTCCCCCAGCAGCCATCCCACAGAGGGCACAGCCCCCCGGGAGATATTTACCCACTGGCTTTGCAGAGGAATGTCACTGGATGGGGCAGAGACGTGGTGAGGGATGGGGGGGGGCAGGGATTGATTTGAATCAAGAAGGAAAAAAGAAACCCAAGTGGTTTTTCCACCACCACCTTCCCCTCTGTTCCATCTGAGCTCGCCCTGAGAAAAGGAACCCGGACTTGTCATGGCTCAAATCTGAGTGCCAAGAACCAGCATTTGGAAAGGTGAAGCCCTTGGTACAGGGGCACTGCAGGGGGTGCCAGGAACTGCTGGGAAACCTGCAGTGTGATTAATTCACGCTGGACACCTGGGGGGCTCTTCCAGCTTGACCCTGCACGCTCCAGCCAGCAGGTTTGACCCAGAGCAATGCCAGGTGGGCAAGGGACACCAGTTGTGTCCCAGAGGTGGAAAGGGGCAGGGATGCTACCCAGCATCAGTACATTCTTCCCACGGAGAAGGAACCTGAGTGGGTGGTTTCTTTCACAGCTGCAATCCCCTTGTCCTTCTGCTTGCAGGAGGTTCAGTGTCTGCAGTGCAGTGTGTGCAGACACCCCCATCCAGCAACACACACACTGGCTTTGTACCTGGCACCAGAGTTTTTTGCTTTCAAGGTTTGCAGGGAGGAAGAAAACCCTTGAAAAGCCTCCTCCCAAACTGAGCTGCCCCAGCAGCTGCTTCCTGCCCCACTGGAGCTGGTGCTGCTGGGCTGGAAGAGGCCCAAGGACCTTTGCTGATGGTGTGGAAGCCCCTGTCTTGCACTGAGCATGGCAAAAACCTGGAAGTCCCAAGTAAAACTCCCATTTCTCTTCCTGGGAGAGGCTCTGATAGCAGCTCCAGACATGCTGGCCAGCTGAAATCATCCTCATGGCAGACAGAGATGCCCAGAGGCTGGGAAACAGACGTGGGGTATGGAAGGACACATCCAACAGGTATTGGGAAAGTGAAAAGGGAGCCAGTCCCCTGCCCTCACAGCCCTGTGCTGGGGCAGGGAGACACTTCCAGGCCTCAAAGATGTGCTGCAAGTTCTCCCTGGTGCACGGGAGGGCAAGGCTTGGTACACAGAAGCTCTTGGGAAGAGCAGCCAGGGCAAGCAGGTGGTGAGGACATGTCTGGATAAACATAAGGCGTGGAAATGAGGTTTCACAGCTGCTCCTGAACACGTCCCAGAGGAGGAGAAGGAGAAGTGCCAACAGACTGAACCAGCACCTCGCCCCACAGCACCTCTCAGTCCAGCAGTCATAAGACAACCAAAGAGCAATGCTTTTCTGCCTGCTCAGAGCAGACCTTGGTCTCTCTTCCAGTGCATGGCATCCCTGATTTTAACAGAGCATAAAGGAGAAAAGCACTTGAGATTCTGACTCACATAAATTATAGTGAGAGGAAGGGGAGGAGGAGGGGGACAGGGTGAACAGGGGGCCACGAGAAGGCTTGACAGGCCCCAAAGCAGGGGGACAATTCTTGCTTCTCTCTCTGGTGGCCACTTCCCCACTCCTGGGGGGTGCTTTGGGGCCAAGCTGGAGGTGAGAAGATGGTGAATCCATGAAGATCTCTCCAGCACCAGCATCCTCTCCCCCGCAGGAGTGAACAACAACCCAAGAACACAAGTCAGGAGGGTGGGGGGGGTTGGGAAACAAATAAAATCACCCAAAAAGAAGCTTCAAGTATGAATAAGATTTACAATGCAGGTGCAACGGGGGAAGTTCTTCTGTCACTTCTTGGAGACTTGGTTGAAGGTTTGTTCTTTGTTGCTGCTGTTTGATTTACAGAGTCTGACTGACCTGGAGAGACTGCAACCGAACCAGTAACCCAACAAAAAAGAAAAGGTGTTTCCTCCCCTCCCTTTCCACCCTCCCCCCCCCCCAAAATAAAAAAAGCAATAAGTTTACAAAAATAGAAAATAATTACAGCAAGAGGCAGGAGGGAGGGCAGAAGGAAAGGGTCCCTGGGGGGGTCTATTTGGCTGAGCAGTGTGATATCGTGGGGTTGTTTAAAGCGTCCTCCACCAGGTGCAGCTCTTGGCGGTCGACAGTCACGTCCCTTATGCAGCCAACAAAGCCAGTGCTGTAGGCCTTGGGCAGCCTGTGGGCCACACTCAGCTTCTCCAGCCCCCCTGCAAGACACCAGGCAGGAGATGGGTTAGGAGGACAAGGGAGAAGGGACACGATGCTCTGAAGGCCAGCAGTGCAGGCAGCATCCCCCCCCAACCCCAGCAGTGCAGGTGCTGCTGGGAACACCCTCAACAACAGGGAAAAACACCACCTCTTCTCCTTGGTTAGTATTTGTTGGCCTGGAAATCAGAGAAATGCCAGTGCCAACCAATGCATGTGGGTTTCCTGGACACTAGCAATCAGTAACCCGCAGTCTAAAATATCAATTCAACTTCAAAGACTCCATTTCTTTGGAGGTTGGTCCCAGATTCCAACTAGATTTTATTTCAGTTCCTGAAATGCCAATTCTGGCTGATTCCAGGCCCTGAGGTTAGGAAGGGCTGCTTGCAAACAAGACCTTGGGAAGAGCCAGTGGGGAAGACAAGGAAAAATATCTCATGGAAAAATCCTGCTGTCCTCAGAACTTCTCTGTCCATTGCAGGTGCAGACATGGCACCAGGGACACTGTCTTTGCAGATGTGAGGCTACATTTTGGAGTGGGATCTTTGTCATGGACCTGAAACTACAGGATTAGACTGGGGACGTAAGAAAGATGCTTCAGACAAGTGTCAAGAGAAGCTCATTCACTGTTTCTTCATTGCAGGTGACCAAAATCACCCAGAGGAACATTTCTGCCCACTGATTTCTGTGGTACTTGTGCCCATTTTGGAACCCTGGGACTGCTACAGCACCTGCCTGAGGAGCAGCCTGGTCCTGAACCCACAGGTGGAGTCTGGCATGGTCTGCTTGTTCTGTGTTATGCAAATCAAGCCACATTTGAAACCTGGGTATTTAGTTATTTCCAGAGAGAAACATCCTTCTCTCACCCTTTGGGAACCAGAGTCACCCTAACAAGTAACACTAGGGAGAGTCTTGACCTAAGAGAGTCAAAGCCACCTGGGAGGCAAAGCTGTTCCCTGGAAACCAGTGAGGGAGCATCAAAAGCTCCAGCTCTGAGCCCCCAGCAGAGGAGGTTCACCCCAACTCACCCAGCCACAGGGCCCCATCTGTGTCCAGCTGTGTTGCACCAAGAGGAGAAGAGCCAGCAATGGGAGCTTCATTGCCAACCTGAAGGGAACCTTCTCTCTGTACCCTGGAGAGAGGGAAGAAACAGAAGATGGTTAGAAACCTTGGAGGAAAAACCTCTGCTTGATGCTAAATCCAGACTCTGGGCAGCATCAGCCCTTCTCTGCTGGAGTGTGGAGCAGAGCTTGCCCTCAGGCCATGCAGCACGGGGTGGTCCTGGGTGTGATGGTGGCAAGTTCTCCCCTCCAGCATAGCTTCCAGAAACATCCTGTGAGATTTACCTATCTCACTGAAAAAATGTTGCTTTGGGGTGGGAGATGAGCCTGAGCCCACCCTGGCATCCCCCAGCCCTCCCAGCAGCCCCCAGCCCTCCCAGCAGCCCCCAGCCCTCCCAGCCCTTCCAGCAGCCTCCCCCTTGGAGCCACAGCAGCAATGCCCGGCACGCCGGGCACCTGATCCTGCACCACTCCCACCACCCATAAAAATAAAAGGGACATCTCGGGCTCAACATGAACAGAATGTCAACCCCTTGGCCAGCTAAAATAAAAGGCATGAACCTTCTGTCCCTCCTCGAGCTGCCCCTTTGACATTTCCAGGCGTGCCACGACGTGCCCCTCCGACGTGGCACTGCCCACATGCCTCTCCTCTATTCTTATCCAAGAGGAGTGACCCTGATGACTTAGAGACATGATTTAAGCACTGAACGGGTAGATTAGGTTATGGTTGGTGGATCTAAGTTATGGTTGGACTTGATGATCTTCAAGGTCCTTTCCAAGCAGGATGATTCTGTGACCCTTGGGGATCAGAGGGCGTGGGAGCCACAGCTCCCCGGTTCACAGCTCCCCCACCCTGGAGCAACCAGCCATGCCCTGCTCCCCTCCACACCTGGATGCTTTGATGTGAATCCACTGGTTGGTGTTGACGGGGACTGTGGATCGCAGGACAACAGGCTTGGAGCCCAGGTCATAGGTCATCTGCACAAACCCATCCACGATGGCCAGGGCGATGTAGTCCGAGCGCTCCAGCCCCTTCCCGCTCCACAGGAGCAGCCCCTGCGTGGCCTCTGTCTTGATGCTCAGCTCAAAGTGGTTGGCCTGCAGGGCCTTCTCACTGGGGGAGGAGAAGACAGAGGAGTGAAAAACATGGCTACAAAGCAGCAGGCAGCTCCTCAGAGCTGCTCTGCTCCAGCCAACTAGCTCAGCTGCTGAGGACCTGCAGCTCCCCTCCCGGGCAGGGGGTCACTCTCAGTCCCCACCTGCTGCACCTGAGGGGTTGCAGCCTCTGCCTGCTCAGGTGGGTGGGGAGCAGATGGAAAGCTCTGAGCCAGGCCATGGGATCAAGGGCATGGCTCTCTGGAGGGCTCTGAGGCAGCTCCTGCTCAGGAGCACTGCCAGCACTGGATGAGGGCAGCTGTGGCATCTGCCTGGATGAGCTTGGGAACACCAAGACTGGAGCTCCTCCACCTTCCTGCTGCCCTTCCAGACTGCACAGTTCTCCTACATCCAACTTGAACCTCCAAGGACACGTGCTGGAGCTGCTGCCCCTTGCTTTTGCCCTCTATGGAGCACAAGGTTCAGACACATCAGCCCCTACCAGCTGTGACACACAGGTCTTGGTTTCTACTCCTCACACATGGTCCCTGAGGGAAGAGGTCTGGTAAGGGGGCTGGTGAACAGCACCAGGCCAGCCCTGATCCAGCCAGCAGAAGGATGTTCCCCATGGAACTGCCTTGGATCTGGGAGCACTCAGAAGAAAGAGGGCTCTCCTGGCTGCAGGCAGAGGCCAAGCTGAGGTCAGCACCATTTCACCAATCCCCCTGGCAGGTATCTGAGGTGCAGGAAGGCACTTGGACATGGTATCATTTCCCAAGGGAGGGATGAAGGAAGGCCAGGATGTCCCCCAGGTTGGCCTCTCCATCTTTGCTCAGTCCCTGCTGGAACAGGCAACAGGTGAAGTTGCTGATTTGGAGTCACCCTCCAATCTCCTGGGGGGCTGACATGTATGTACACATGGACAAGACAACATGGGCAACACAGACAGCTTTTTATTCCCAAGGGACACTGTGTCCAGCAGGCTGGACAAGGGCTGTGCTGCTGAGGAGCTGCTGGAAGGACAGGGCCTCCTTCCCCTTTCCTCCCATCCCCTGCAGAGCTGCATCCCTCACCAACAAAAACCCAAAGGAGAGGACACAAAGGACACACACACACACACACACAGACATGCAGAGGCAGCAAGAGCAGAGCAGGAGACACCAGAAGCCTGGCACAGACTCACCTGGGCTCCACGGGGTAGTCCAGGGCTTCAGGACTTAGATGTGGGAAGAAAGGGGAGCGGGCGATAAGCGCAGGGCAGCAGGAACCCCCCCTCCTGGCACTGCCCCTCACCCCACCCAACAACCCCCCGGGTCAGTGGGAAACTCAGCCCCTGCCCTTGGGATGGAGGTTCCTCAAGGCAGGAGACAAGTTTGCAAGTTGTTGCTCAGCCATCACATCAAGGTGGCCTTGCCCCGGGGATGTGGGGGCTCCACAAGGCTCTCCTGGGTCAGGACCAGCACTGGTTCTGCTGGGCTCTGCATCCCAGGGTGGAGCAGAGAGCAGCACTGCTGGGGGAAGGCAGCTTTTGGTCCTGCACAAGGACTTTTTTTCCCAGGCAGACCTGCAGGCAGGAGCACCAAGACTGGAGCTCCTCCATCTCCCTGCTGAGCTGAGCAGGGGCTGCATGGTTCTCCTGCTGGTTCTGTGGGACCCTGCAGAGGGGGTGCCCATCTGGGCAGGGTGTTGAAATCCACACACAGAGCCTCTGAGTCAGTCCTGGAGCACTTGGGCAGCAAGGGGGTGTGTGGAGATGGGGAAACCCAGCAGGCCAGCTGTCCTGCTGGCACTGCCCACCAGCCCCAGGGGCTACAGGCACCACAAGCAGCTCCAACTAGATGTGTCTATAAAAATGGACCCTCAAAACAAGAGATGTTTGGGCACGTCTGGGCCAGCAGAGCCCAGAGAAGCAAATGGAGCATTAGTCCTGCCCAAGGCACACCCTGGGATCTGCCTGGAGGCAGGAAAAAAAGACTTCTATGGGCAGCCCAACGGGTGCTTCAGGCCTGGGAGGCCAGTGGGTGCTGCTGCCACCTCCCAGCAGAGGGACCTGGGGTGCTCAGCCCCCCTGCAGGATGGGGCATGCACAGCCAGAGTGGGCTGGCTTGGGTGGGAGTGGGGACCTGCCCTCTGGGGAGCAGGGGGAGAGGCAGGACACCCAGGCAGCAGCTTCCTGCTCCTCTGCAGGGATGGGGTCTGTGCACCCTGCCCTGTGGCCACCCCCTGCCTCACCACTCCAGGGCACTGTCTAGGTCAGGAGGATGTTTGGCTCCTCAGAAACCCTTTCCAAAACACCAGAGCACCCCCTAAACTGCTGTGACCATGCAGGCCAGGGGCTCTGTGGCCCCTCAGGTGTTGCCATGCACACATGCACAAAACAGCCTCCCCAGGCTCTGCCTGACCCCAGCTGGTAGAAAATGAGGTGAAATGGGGATGTGACAGGCAGGAGTCACTCCAGCTGTTCCCCCTGCAGTGGGGGACAGAGGAACTAGAGCTTCTCTTCCAACTCCTGCTCAGCAAGACAGACAGACAGCAAACCCAACAGCTGCCAAACCTGCTCTAACGAAGAAGCCCTTCTCCAAATCCACCTGCCCAGGTGGCTCTCCTGGCTGCACTGCACATGAGGCCTTTGCCCCTGCCATGCACCCCTGTCCACAGAATGTTCTGGCACCAGCCTGGCCTCCTTGCTGTGGCAGCAACCCCACATCCCTGCTGGAAAAATCAGGGCAGGATTAGCACCTCCCACCTCCACTGCCCATGCCTTTGCTGCTGATGGAAGTCACAGGAATTGTCTTTCATGCTCACTCACTTAACCTAAGGCTAAGCTGCACAGACCATCTTGGTTGGAGAAGACCTTTCAGATCAAGTCCAATCATTATCCCAGCCCTGCCAAGGCCACCACTAACCCGTGTCCCTCAGCACCACAGCTACATGGCTTTGAAATTCCTCCAGGGATGGGGACTCCACCACTGCCCTGGGCAGCCTGACAACCCTTGCCATGATTGAATTGTTCCTAATATCCAATCTAAACCATCCTCCTCCCCCTGCCCTGTGCTGCCCCTGTGGGTGGGCTGGTGGTCAGGGTGGCAATGGTGGACGTGGTGGGGGGCAGATGGTTGCAGGGAGGAGCTGGGCAGTGGGGAGGACTGTACTTACACAGGGATCTCATTGGTCAGGTGGCTTGAAAGCAAAGAAACAAGGACATTGAGAAGAGATGGACAGACAGAGACTGACAAACAACAGGGCAAGACAGACACCCCTCCCAGGCAGAGGAACCTGAGGGTGTACGAGGCAGATGGATGGAGCCCAATCCAATACCCTGTCCCAGACCTGTGGTGGAGCTGGGAATTAATCACAGGGGCTGTAGGAGCACAGTGCTGAGGACAGACACCCAGCCAGGCTGCAGTGGACCATGTCTCCTGTAGGAGATAATCCAGCCCAAAGGCAGAGGAGGAGCTCAGGCAGCAGCTGTGCAGTGGGCTCCACTGGTCTGGAGAGAGACCTCAGGAACCAGGACAGACCCAGAGACCACAGGGTCCAAACACACAGCTCCAGCTGGTGGGGTTAGGGTGGAGAAGGTGCTGGAGAAGGTTATCCAGGTCCCACAGCAGTGGCAGCCTGTCCCTGCTGGCAGGTCCAGCCCTTGCTGCACAAACAGCCACACAAAGGACCTGGCAGACAGGTGGGAATTGACCCACACACAAGCAGAGCTTCCTCTCCCCTCAGCACAGCCCATCCCCACCCTGACCATTCTCAGCCAGCTTTAGCCCACTCCCCAGCCAGACCAGGCCAGCCCTCAAGGTGGCCCACACACTGCACAATGAGACCATCCAGACCTGAGGTTGTCCAGGTGCTGCCCCAGCCCTTTGCCAACCAGGGAGCTTCAGAGGTCAGGGCTGGAGGGGAGCCCTCAGCATCCCAGTTTGGCTCACCCCTCTTTCAGCACTGCACCTGGACCCCTTCCACCCAAGCTCTTCTTCCTGCCAACAGTCCTAACTCCTTATTTTGACCCTGGTTCAGCTCAGCAGCCAAGTTACCTCTTTGTCACAGCGTTGTGATACTCCATGTAGGTCCTACCATCAAAAGCAATGGCCTCTGCATCTCCAGCAGCCTTCTCAATGATCACTGGAGGAGAGAAAAAGAGCAGCTGTCAAGCAATGCAGCATGGCCTGGCTGTCCCTGGAGACTGGGAACATCTCCCTTTCCACTAAGCACTCATCACAGGATGAGGGCCTGCACAAACCTGCCATCCCTTGGGGCATGGCAGCACTGGGGCACCCTAAGCAAGCCCCTGCAAAGGGTTGCTGTGGCTTTAGAGCTGGGAGTTTGGGCCATGGTCCCTGCTTTGCAGCCAGCTGTGATGAAACCTGCAGCCTCGAGGGCTTCCTGGCTGAAGCTGGGGAGGAACCTGGACTTGGTGATGGCCCAAGTGCTGATCTCAGGAGGCAGAAGGAAAGAAACCCTGATCTGGAGACAGCCAGGCATGGCTCAGGCCCTCCAGGTGTATCTGCTATGGCACCAAACCACATTTCCCTGCCCCAGGCTGCTTCAAGAACCATAAGAACAGGGTCCCCTGGGTCCCCACCCAGCAGCCACGAGGACAAGACCTCAGGCTCGGCCACGGGAGCAGTGTGATTGCCACATCTGGCTAGTGGGTGAGGGTCTGTGCCAGCCCTGCCCTGTCTCACCTTTCTCACAGTGGGCTCCAGAGAAGCCCCTCTGGCAGGTACACTGGTATCTCTCCAGCCGGGGGCTGCAGGTGCCCCCATTCTGGCACGGGTTGGGCTTCTGGGTGCAGGGGTGGCCTCGGAAAGGGGAGATCTCGGTGGCGTTGAGGATGTTCTGCTTCTTCAGCACAGGCACCCCCTTGATGGAGATCTGGCAGGTGTAAGAAAGGAGGAGCACAAGAGTCAGCCTTCATCACCCCACCTCTCTGCAGGGTCAGCACCCTTGGGGGGAAAAGGGGAGACAGGAACCCAGCCCCAAACCCCAGCTCTAATGCACCCCACCTCCCCCTTCTGCCACCCACTGCTGTTCAACCAGGCCCAAAGGGCAGAGGGACCCATGTGCCAGGGCAGCCCCTTCCCAGGCTTGTCCCCCTCCAGCAGTGCTGGTGGAGATGGCACATCTGCCAGCCAGCCAGCTGCCCCAGGCTCCCTGCTGGGGCCTTACCCTCTGCACAGCTCCATCGAAGCCGGTGGAGATGGCAGCTGCTCGAGCCAGTTTGCTGAAATCAGGGGCTCCCCCCACATAAAATGGCTCCTTCAGGTTCAGGAAGGTGTGAGGGACCTGGAGGGGAGAGGGGAAAAGGTGAGATGGAGGGAGAAGATGTCCCAGCTCTGTGGGGACGAGAGGAGGCTGCGAGCAGGGCAGCTCTGCAGGCAGAGCAGGCACCAGGGCACAGCCAGAAGCTGGGCTGGTGTGGAAAGAAAACAACCCCTGCCTGTGCATTTTCTCCTGAATTTAATTTGTGTGAGATGCTGTTCTGATGCCCTCAGGTGTGGAGGGCTCTGCCTTGGTGTGGCCCCCAAAACCAAGTCAACAAATAGTGCTTCACTCTCACCAGGGCTCAAGCCAAACTCAGAGCAGATGGATTCAGCTTGGGTTCATCTGCCTGCTGCTGGTCCCTGACAGCAAATGGCCAGAGGAGGTTCTCCTGCATCTCCTGGAGCCATGAGTTTGGAAGAGAAAAGACCCTTCCTTGCTGTCACCCTGCAGCCCCGACTGCCCAGCTGAGTCCCAGGTGACCCTTCAGCCACAGGGTTCACACAACAGGAGTGATGTCCCCTCCTGGGCACCTGGGATAGACCCAGAGGCACAGCAGGGAGGCAAAGATGCAGTTACATCCATCACTAACTAATGCTTTGTGGAGTTAACACAGGAAACATGACCAGATTAATTGAAATGCTTCTGAAACAAAATGTAAAGACTGGCTGGACACTAATGAGGGAAGAGGAAACAAGTGTCTCTAATCTACAGAGATCCTAAAGCTGCTTGGTCAGATGGGAAGGGGAGTGAGTGAAACACTGAGATCTGGATGGAAAACAAACAAAAAAAAAGAGCAACATGCCAATGGCAGATGAGATGGAGGTGCAGTGGGTCATACTTATCTTTACCTTACGGGATTTCTGGGATCCAGACAGCAGGGGAGGGAAAAATACAAATGAAAATCAAAGGGAGAGAGAGAAAGAGAGAAAAGGAGATCAGTGGGTAACATCATAACATGCAGGGTGGCCCAGAGCATCCTGCAACCAGTGCCCAGGAGAGCCAGGGCAGAGGAGGGGGCCTGCAGAAGACAACAGGAGGGGCCAGTGCCAACCAGGGGTAACCTTTGCTTGTAGAGAAGCTTGGAAGGATGAGAGGGAGGGGAGGAAGAGATTCCAGCTTTGGCAGGAATGGTGCATCACCTTTCTAGGTGGGTCTTAAGGATGAGTTCAGCAGCAATTGGAGCTTTTCCTGCATCACCAGCTTCCCCACCAGGAAGGCAGATGGAAGGAAGGCCAATGGCCCTGCCCTGAAACCCCAGGAAGCTGCTGTTTGAGCAGAAGCAGGGGTGCAGTGGGGCCAGGGCACAGGGAAAAGCCAGAGAGACAAGCTGCCAGCTGGGAGGCAGAGGAAAGGCACTCGTGGATCCAGCAGCAACAGTGCAAAGGGGCTTTTAGTGCTCCCTGGCTCCCTCCCAGCCCAGCTGTCTGTGCAGCCAGCACCAAAAACCAGGGCCCCAAGGAGCAGGGCATGCAAAAGGGCTGCAGCTCTGATGGTGGGGGACCAGGAGGAAGAGCTGAAGGGCTGTGCCACTGCTGTCCTACAGCAGCAGGGCCAGGCAGCAGAGCAGCTGGGAGGGGCAGGCAAGCTCTGCCCTGCAGCATCCTCTGCTCCCCAGGTCTTACCCACATCTCCTCCACCCTTAAAGCCACACACCACAGGGACTGAAAGCCCAAGAGCCTGGGGACTTCTCAGCTTATTTCACAGATGGAGGAGCAGGACTGGAAGCCCAGAGAGCTCTCCCTGCTCCACCAACTCACCGGTGACTCTCCCATCACGATGTCACCGCTGTCGATCGTCATCATCCCCTTGCGCCCGTTCCTCTCCAACAGGACACTGATCCAGGTGTTGAGGGGAACTGGCTCTTTGCTCCTGGGGGTGGGAAGGGAGGAGAAGACACATGGGTGAGAGGTTTGCCGTGATCACCTGCAAACACAGAGCTGGAAACCTCCCCTAACCAGTTTGGCCTGCCCAGATCATGACTGCAAACAGCCATGGGCAGTAGGAAGCCTGCTGCCCCCTGCTCCCCTGTGGTTTTCTGGGGAGGGGACCCCAAAGCCAGTGCTGGACACTGAAAGCCACCACTGTCCCTCCCCTGCCTCTTGTCACCACCCTGCAGAGCCCCCCAGCCCCGTGCCCACCCTACCTGAGCACAGCTGCCCCTTTGCCCAGGTCGTATCTGTACTCCAGGTAGCCATCGTGTAAGGCCAGAGAGACAAAGTCCCCTTTGCCATCTGTCTTCTGCCCATTGTAGAAGATCATGCCACTGGGGCTCTTGGCCAGGAACACAACTTCCATGGACATTTTGTCCCTGAGGAGAGAAGGATTATGGATACCCTCCAATCCAGCTGCTCACACGCTCCCTTCCTCCACCCTGTGTGCCCACCCCTTGGAAGAGCTCTGGGACTACAGGCATGGCAGGGATGCCACTACACCTGGGGCATTCAGGATGCTGCTCCACAGTGACTATTTACCCAGCCTGGTCCAAAACTGAAGCCCCAAGGGTAGGGTGCTGGCTCAGCCTGGCTGCAGGGATGCTGGCCATGCCAGTCCCAGGGGATAAAACCTCAGGCAGGTGAAAGGGAAGGTCTCCAGGGAGAGCCATCCTGTGAGAAGTGAGGTTCAGAGCTGCCTCCCCCAAACCAGCCCTGCAGGTGATGCCCTGGCCTGCCCCTCTGCCACTCCCTGGCACTTACTGAAGGTCAGGAACGAAGGTCTGCAGCCCATTCAGCTCCAGGTAGGAGAAGCCATTGAACGCCGGGAGGAAGGGCATGGTGTGGTCCTGCTCTGTCACTGGGCACAAACGAGGGAATGGTGAGGGTGAGGAGGCAGAGCAGCTTCAGCCAGTGCCCCAGAGCCACAGCAGGTGAGACCTCCTGGCTCCCCAGGCTGGGGAAATGAGCACCTGCAGTTCCACCCCCGTCCCCAGCCCCGCTCCTCTGCCAGCTCCCGTCCCACCTCGCTCGCAGAAGTCTCCTTCCCGGCCCATGGGACAGGCACACAAGGCACCTCCCTCCGGCAGCACCAGGCAGGTGGCAGAGACGTGGCAGGGCGACGGGTCGCAGGGGTTCCTCTCGTCAGCACAAGTTGGGCCTGCAGCACAAGAGGCAGCACCTCAAACCCACAGCCAGCAGGCACGACTCGGCCAGAGACAAACGTCTCTGACGTCTCCTGATGGCCCTTCCAGCCTCCTTCTCCTGTCTCAGGTTGGATTCCCACGGCCCCAAAGAAGCCCCCCTGCAAATGGCAGGAAACCCCCCTGCCAGCCTGTGCCCCTGAAATGCAAGGGGGAATTATCTGTGCATGAGACAGGGACAGGTGTGCATCCCAGATCAACTACTTCACTGGATGCAGGTTCATCCCCCTGCTCCCTCCAACCCCCCTCCCCACACCTCCCAGCCCCAGGAGGCTCTGGGACCCCTGAGGGCCAAGCAGTGGGAGCAGGACCCCCAGCCCCGCTGTGCTCTGCCCCTGCCCGTACCGGTGTAGCTGTGCAGGCACTGGCAGTGGAACATCTCGGCCTCCCTGGCGCGGCAGATGCCCCCGTGGCGGCAGGGGTTGGGCTGGCAGGGGTCGTTGCCGCACTCGCCCACGGCGCTGCCGTACAGCACCTCGGTGCCCTTCTCCCGCAGGTCGTACAGCTGGTTGTTCACGTCCAGCAGGCGGATGCAGCCCCTCAGGCCGCCCGCGGCTGCCGTGCGATCTGCCACCCTGGGGGGAGAGGGCAAAGTGGGCTGGGGAGTGGGGGGCTCGGGGTTGGGCCCCGAGGACGGACCCGCGGAGGCTCTGCCAGGGAGGCTGCACATCCCCAGCTCAGGGAGGAGCCCCAGCTCCACAGCATCCCCCAGCCATGGGCAGCACGGCCAGGGCAGGGCTGCAGCCACCACGGCTCCTGCACAGGAGGTGCTGAGACAACCAGGACACCTCATTTCCACAGCCAGGACACCTCACCCACACAACCAGACCACCTCACCCACACACAACCAGGGCACCTCACCCCCACAACCAAGGCACCTCACCCCCAATACCAGGGCACCTCACCCCCACAACCAAGGCACCTCACCCACACCACCAGACCACCTCACCCCTACACAACCAGGGCACCTCACCCACACAACCAGGGCACCTCACCCACACAACCAGGGCACCTCACCCACACAACCAAGGCACCTCACCCACACAACCAGGGCACTTCACCCACACACAACCAGACCACCTCACCCACACCACCAGACCACCTCACCCCCACACAACCACGGCACCTCACCCCCACAACCAGACCACCTCACCCACACCACCAGACCACCTCACCCCCACACAACCAGGGCACCTCACCCCCACAACCAAGGCACCTCACCCCCAATACCAGGGCACCTCACCCCCACAACCAAGGCACCTCACCCACACCACCAGACCACCTCACCCCTACACAACCAGGGCACCTCACCCACACAACCAGGGCACCTCACCCACACAACCAGGGCACCTCATTTCCACAGCCAGGACACCTCACCCACACACACCCAGGACACCTCACCTCCCCAACCAGGACACCTGATTTTCACAACCAGACCACCTCACCCCCACACAACCAGACCACCTCACCCACACACCACCAGGACACCTCACCCCCACCACCAGGACACCTCACCCCCACACCCAGACCACCCCACCCCCC